CATTTCTCGGAGGCAAAATGAGCAAGAACGCTCATTTGTACATCATTCTAGAGATAAATAAATGGCCTTTTTAAAAAGTGAACCATCGATAAGCAAATGTTGGCAGTTTTCTCAATGAACTGAAGCTTGAATTGAATTGAATCCACTTGAACATGACGCTGCTTTTTTCGAAGTTTCTCAAGAACCATTCGAGCCAGAGAATTCATTTTGGCATCGTTGGATAGAGAATAACCCCCATGACTCCCCCCTTGATCCGCCCTTGATGTAGAGCCTGCATTAGGATGTTTCCAGCCCGCAGATCCTCTAAAAATATCTTCTTTCCAAACTTCTTTTTTTAATATGTTCTTTCTACATGCCTTTTCCAGTTGCGTTTACGGTAGAATTTACTTTGTTTATCTGTGTTTTTTCTTTAACTTTCAGCGAATTGGCATGAACGGCGCGCAAAACTGATAAGCAAAGCAAGTTGCTGCATGAAAACACATTGTTCTTTATTTTTTTCCGAGCAAATCCCCATTTACTTATGACATCAACTATTTAAAATAAGATTGATCGAGAAATTCAACGTCCTGATAAGCAAGATTAAGAAAAATTGCCACTAGAAAAGCTCTTGTCGAGATTTGCTCCAAAAACCTACGATAGCAAATGTATTAATTTCGCATTTTAGGATTTAATTCCCAACGGAAGCTGTGCATGGTTCATAAGATATGAATGAAACGAAATAGTCACTGTTGGGTCAAAAAACTGAAGCGTTGCGGAAGTTCAACAAGAGCACAGACAATAACTTCAGAGTGAAACTGAACTTCTCGAAATCGGCTCTGTGCGGAAAAGTGCACAGTTTCTTACTTGTGAAACCTGTCCGTTGACATTGTCCCATAAAAGTGTATCACTAGGTTACACAGGTAGCACTAGACGATTTTTTTTCAAACAAAGCCAACTTTCGCACCCGACAATTCTGCTAAAGCACTGATAGCGATATTCTAATTAGTAAATCGCGTATGGCGACTTTTCGGTCTCGGATTAGAGATAACTGGTTGAAGTGTTCCATCGATATCGTTCACCTGCCGTTCCGCGGTCTATCATCTGCTGAAACAATAAGAAAAAGTGCTGCCATGTTGCCAGTCAGTTTCCCTGATTTTATTTTATTGACTATCCATCATTTAAACAAATTTTGTTTTTTTCACTTTTCCCACTTTTCCCGCTTGCCCAATTCACAGCTAGTGACAATTAAACAAAAGTATTGAATAAACCGTGGTGCAAACAGTCGTGTTCTTTTTACCCCAATGGAAGTGCGGCTACAGATGCGTTTCCGTAGCAACCAGACGTCAAGCCCCGCGGGTCAGCGCCATTTGCACCAGCGGTTGAACTGAATCCTGACTTGCATATAAAAAAGCCCCTTCCAATAAACTGTTCATTGAGCAAGCTCCACTTTTTGGAAACAGCCAAAGAAAATTGAGTTTTTCTGGCAACACGGGACTGATGTAAAAAAACGCGTTCGGCCGTGTCCAGTTCACACAGTTCAGCGACTCGAGCAGTCAACGGTCCAAACACCATATTTCTTCTATTCTTCTTTGAACTTGTCCTCTTCGCCGGGAACCAGGTCACCAGGGCCGTCAGCCTTCTGTCCTTGTCTTCCATTTGAAGAACCCTGCAATTGAACAAGGAAGAAGAGATGAACCGACGGTTAAAAAACTAGCCCCAAGCCACCTGCACTTTGGGTACCAGATGGTTGCTTGGGAATGGTCGGGCACTGCACTGCCATGGTTGAAGGTTTTTGGGCTTTGCTTAGATGGCGCTGTGAGTGCGTCTGCAAAACATTTTTCAGTGCTCTCTAAAGTTGATTTTTTCTGCATTCAAGCTGCACTTTCCAATAGGAAATCAGAACCATTAATTAGTAGCAGAAAAAATGTTCTTCTATTGTCGACTCAGTGTTTTTGCGATCAAGAGTGCCCTTTCCCACATTGATCATCCGGAGCGATCTGCAGATCACGATGCGAACGAATCGTATGCAAGCAATTGCCCATCAAGCTTAAACAAGCAATAACCGAACTCAGTCGGCGATCGAACCAGAGTTATTGTGACATATTGCAATACAACAGTCATTACTCATCGGCTACAACTTCATTAAGGCCGAAGAAGTGGCCTGAGCAATAACATCTCGCCTTTCTACCAATTACAGAGCGTCGCTTCAACCGCTCACCATCACCCAACACCGTGCGTCCACTCGTCTTTGTTTCAAGCCGTTCGTTCTTCATTCTTCCGCCGTCTTCATCATTCCGTAGGAGGTGGGCGGAGCCGACTTGGCGAGAAATCGCGGCAGGGCGGGTTCGACCGCGATATTTCAAACTTCAATTTGGATCGGACGATCAAGAAAAGTGATTTGCCATGGTTTACGGTCTCGGCTTGTTGCACTAGACCAGCGTTGCCATTTGGGGAAATTTGAAAACCAATCCAAAATTCACCACCTTGTATGTGGAAGGTTTCCAACGCCCCTCGTAGCGCAACCAGCTGGGGATCCAATTGAGGCCCTGTGCTAGCAAGGGAGATACATATAGCGGTTGCCGTGGAAACTAACAAGTCCTTGTCGCACCTGCCCTGTTTACGAGGGCCAGTCACATTTTTCTATTCAAGTCCTTCCATGAAAACGTTCCAATTTCTCCCCCTACAGCAGCCAATTATCGTAGAATTTATCGTTGTTAATGCGATGTGTCTCCATTCGTGCTGCGCTCCATACAGCCGGTATAAATCATGGGGGCAACTATGCGAAAGCGTTAATTATTAGTTAATAATAATGAGGCGATTCGTGTAATTAGAAAAGAACGATAAATCCCGACAAAGTGACGGTTTCCAATAAGCTACTTAAATTAAAACAGCGCGTATGGTCATAAGGAGCCTGCTTTCATTAGATGCGATGTTGGTACTCGAGTGGTTAATAAATGAGGTGTCGAGGGAAATTGTGCTGTTTTGTGCTATTGTTTGCATATCGACTTGGGTTTGAGGAGTTTTTTCGGTCGGTCCCTTTAAGACTCCTTATAAATCCAGTGAATCCAACTAGAAATGGTTTTAGTTCCTTAAAGAAAATGGAATTTCCTTCTTAGTGTTTCCTTGCACTCAACACGTCTTAACCATATCGCGTTGCTCAAACAGGTTTGGACCAGAAGAGGGATTGCCATTATAGATATTGATATCGGGCGATCTTTTATTAATAATCCCGTGCGTGTATCCTCATTTAGCCGGATTTATGTGCAAGAAACCAATTCGATCTTACATTTCGCTCGCGATAATTTTAATTGCTCTGTGTATATTGAATTAATTCCCCTATCTGGTGTCTTGGTAGCTGGACGACCAATCAGCATTAATTGTTGATTGTTCTTCAATCGGCTGTTGAAGCTACTGGTTGGATGGCGAAGAACGGGCGATTTTGTCCAAAGTTGCAAAAACCAAACTGGCCAACAGCCGCTTTGTTTGGCATGACAAAATACCTTCCCACACAATCCAATAGTGACATAACAGAACAATTCACCTTACATAAACCTGATAGAGACACCATACAAAACCATAGCGGCAACAATCGACCCCAGCTGAGAATTCTTGACATCTCGTGTATACCCACACGAATTATGGCCACAATACAATCTTATTAATACCTTGTATCTTATCTAGCTAATAGGATCAGCGCATTTTACAGGGGAGTTGCAAAACTTAACCAGTCCAGTTATTTTACGCTTTTTAGACTAAACTGAGAGCTTTTAGCATAAAAAACACATGTGATTTGGATGGTTTTAACAACACAGTTAACAACAGATTCCTTAGTTGTTTCATCTCATCTTATCAGCACAGGAAAACAATGTGCGTTGCATCAATCACTAAATGTGTTAATTCAATTGAATTCCACTTAGTTTGGGTGTTAAATTAAGTCATCTTCAGACTGTGGTTCAGACTTCAGACAAGGGTGCCTCAGCAATTGATCATCACTAAAGAGCGAATTAAAGCAAAAAAATGTCCAGCCATCAGCAGACCCTAGCAATCAATACTAGACGGTTTTGTTTTGTTTTATTTCGATTCGATTTATTAGATTTAGAGGCTTCAGCTAAATAAATTTTCGAACTTTGCTAATATGCTTGTTTTGGGGTTGTTGGGCTATCATCTTCGAAACCTTAAATCAGAACAAATAAGCCCGCTATCGGCGTGATGATCATAGATTTTCATATGAGAAGCTTTATTTGGAACATTCTGCACTGATGAATTAATTCTATTGCGTACTT